ACAAGAGAGAAACTCCCTCGCAAAAAGAAAAAAGAAAAGGAAAAAGAAATGTTCATCATACCCTAACCCTTTTGTCTCAGTGATGCAACTGAGGCCCAGAGAGAGGATGGAATTTGCCCAAAGTCACACAGCAAGTCTGTAATCGAGGGAGGCCGAGAACCACGGCTCTTATTCCTTCTGCTGGGCTTGGTTGGCCTCAACCTGTAACTCCATCGCTCCTCCTCCCACACTCACTCCCCGCCCAGAGCCTGTGTGCTGAGATATGAATATTGATAAATTAATTGGATTTTTGTATGTGGCTGGTGGAGTTAATCTCTATATGGCAACACCTTGTTCATCCATTCATTCAATTGACAGTTAAATCAACTGCTTTCTGGATAACCTATGAGGCCTGCCTATTTGGCTTCATGCCCTCTGCCTGCTCCCCTGCCCAGTGCACACCTCCTGCACTCTGCTTACATTGTCTTTCCTACGAGACTTCTCTGCCTCCCCAAGGTCTGGCCCAAGTGCCCCTCCTCCCTGTACCCCATCACAGCCTGGATCACACTTATCCGTTGCCCTCAGTGGCCTAAGCACCATTCAGGCAAGATTCCTCTTGTTCCCCACTTGCTGCCAGTGCCCAGAGCAGGGCCTGACCCATAACAGGTGCCCCTTGAATCAATGATTGCATCCGCCATTTCTGGAACACTTCCCTGTGCTCTCATAGTCCAGGGCCTCTGCAGAGGGTGTTTCCTCCCACACCCGGTCAGTTCTAGCCTTTTAAATTGTCCAGACCATGTCAAACATCCACAACAATCAATAGTTCTGTGAAGCCGTCTTTCCCAACCTGCATGTCTCCCCACCGCACACACGGTCAATCCCTCCTCCTCTTACTCCATCCTCTCTGCCACCTCATGCCACTTAGGACACTACTGTCCTTGTGGGCAGTGACTTGTATTTTTTACCCTGGTCCCCTGGCACCTACACAGTGCGAGATACTAGTTTAGCTGCTTAGCATTCAGCAGTGAACCTAGCAAAAAAAAAACCCTGTCCTCATGAAGCATACATTGTGATTGTGGGGGGAGGGGAGCAGATCGAAAATAAGTAAAATGTAGAGCATGTTACAAAATGACAAGTGTAGGCCAGGCATGGTGGCTCACGCCTGTAATCCCAGCATTTTAGAAGGCTGAGGTGAGGCGGGTGGATCACCTGAGGTCAGGAGTTTAAGACCAGCCTGGCCAACATGGTAAAACCCCGTCTCTACTAATAATACAAAAAGTTAGCCAGGTGTGGAGGTGGGCACCTGCAATCCCAGCTACTTGAGAGGCTAAGGCGGAGAATCGCCCGGGAGTTGGAGGTTGCGGTGAGCTGAGATCAAGCCACTGCACTGGGCGACAGAGCGAGAATCTGCCCCCCCCCACAAAAAAGAAAAGAAAAGAAAGTGACAGGTGTTGGCCAGGCATGGTGGCTCACGCCTGTAATCCCAGCACTTTGGGAGTCCAAGGCAGGTGGATCACTTGAGGTCAGGAGTTCGAGACCAGCCTGACCAACATGGAGAAATCACGTTTCTACTAAAAATACAAAATTAGCCGGGCGTGGTGACACATGCCTGTAATCCCAGCTACTCAGGAGGCTGAGGCAGGAGACTCTCTTGAGTTCAGGAGGTAGAGGTTTCAGTGAGCCAAGATCGTGCCATTGCACTCTAGCCTGGCCAACAAGAGTGAAACTCTGTCTCAACAAAACAAAACAAAAATACAAAAAATTGGCCTTCTTGCTGTGGATTTCCTGCACAGCAAGGAGGACGGTAGCTCGTGCTTGTAGTCCCAGCACTTTGGGAGACCAAGGCGGGCAGATCACAAGGTCAGGAGTTTAAGACCAGCCTGTCCAATATGGTGAAACCCTGTTCCTACTAAAAAATACAAAAATGAGCTGGGCATGGTGGCCCATGCCTGCAGTCCCAGCTACTTGGGAGGCTGAGGCAGGAGAATGGCTTGAACCTGGGAGGCAGAGGTTGCATGCAGTGAGCTGAGGTCGCACCACTGCACTCCAGCCTGGGCAACAGAGTAAGACTTCATTAAAAAAAAAAAAATTAGCTGGGCATGGTGGTGTGGGCCTGTAGTCCCCGCTCCTCGGGAGGCTGAGGCACAAGAATTGCTTGAACCCACAGGGCAGAGGTTGCAATGAGCCACTGCCCTCCAGCCTGGGCGACAGAGTAAGACTCTGCCTCAAAAAAAAAAAAAAAAAAAGGGAAAAGAAAGTGACATTGTTGAAGATAAGAACAGAGACCAGGGAAGGGGGATAGGAAGAGGGGGAGGTAGGGCTGTTGGAAAGCCTTTGCAGTATCCAGTGGGAAGGAACAGACCTCTGGACTTGCACTGGTGGACAAAGGTCTTGAGGCCGGAGGCGAGGAGGCTGCCTTCGATCAAGTTACAGCAAGAAGGATGGTGTGGCTGGAGAGGTGGTGAGCGCAGTGGGTGGTGGCGAAGGGCAGGTCAGAGGTGAAACAAACCTACAGATCTGATAGGCCTTGTGGGTCACAGTAAGGACTTTGACTTTTGCTCTGACATGGGAGCCGCTGGTGGGTTTCTAGCAGAGAAGTGGCGTGATCTCATTTTAACAGGATCGCTCTGCCTGCTGCATGGAGGAAAACAGTAGAGGAGGACTAGGACAGAAAGAGATCAGTGAGGGGCTACAGCAGCGATCCAGATGAGAGGCGACAGTGCTGGGGCCAGGCCACAGTGGGACAGTGGAGGGTGAAAGTGCTGAACACGAAGAGTAGGAGATGACTCTGCATTTTTTGTTGTTTTGAATAGAGATGGACGGCTTGCTGTGCTGGCCAGATTGGTCTTTTTTTTTTTTTTTTTTTTAG